ATCTTTAAAAAAATGTTTCCTTTTTAATTATTTTTCTTTTTACTTTTCTGTTTTATATTTTGCTCAAAAAATTCAATTAAAATTATTTACAAAATCCCAGCAACAGAGAGCAGATCACAAGCAGAAAGCAAAGCAATGACTCTGCTCTGCTAGCTCCATGCCCTTCACTCGATTCACCAACCAACATACATGATGGAGGGAGTAGAGCTGCCGAATATAGCCTTCTGAGCCCATAGAGCAGAATGGGAACTCTGTGATTGGCAGCTGGCAGTGCCTGTTAAGGCTTGGAGGGCTCAAACTAGTGTTTCCAAGGCTGGAGAATCCCCCCCCCCCCCCGTTACCTTGGAATTTTGTAAACAGTTTAATTGATCAGTGCCAGTCTTCATCTGTTCACAAACTGCCATAAACAGTACTAAACATTTGTGAAAGTTCATGGTGGCAGAGCTCCCACAAACTTAGGTTTGTGAAACAGGAACCAGCTAAAATTAGTCACAAACTTTCGTTCATGAGACAGTACATGCCTATCCCTAACTGTTTACACACTGTGGTATGCCCGCGTTAGGTTTGCACTGAATTCTCAGGCTGAATTATCAAAATAGCTTTTTAAGTGATGTTATGTTTCTTTGTAAGAATACAGTGTAAGGTGTTATATGTGGTTTGTTTAAACCCATAGGATAATGGAGGAAGCCAGACTAATTAGAACAGAACTATGGACAAAAACATCCAGAGGTATGCTTGGACAGAGAGGCAAATAGATAAGAAAACAGAACTTAAGAAGTTAATCATAATTGGCATTCAATTAGTACATTAATTCATACTAGGCCCTGTTGCGTATGCACCCAACCTGCTGTGACAGGTTGGTTACTTGAAGACATAGGTACTGGTACCATAAGTGCTTGCTTCTAGTGTGGGTTTAGCCTTGATTATCTCTCTCTCTCGCACGCGCACACCCCCCCCAACCTACATTAAATGTTGCTCAAAATGCAAGATGAAATGATACAATTAGGTATCATCTGATCTCTGCATAAACACTCAAGTGCCTCATCTATATACTGTTAGTCACGTGTGGCCTCCATCTGCAAATACGTAAATCTGCAGATCAAGGCCAAATAGAGGCTAAAGAGATTTTTCAACAAACTTAGGAGATTCCCCAGGTTTGTAGAAAAATCTGAAATGATTAAATCCCGCCCATTTAAAAAAATAAAATAAAAAAAGTCTATCCATGCACAGATAACACTCTTAATTTTCTTCTGCAGCAGTGATTGGCAACTGTGGCAAAGCCTGGTGGTGGACACTGGGACCTGCTCCGGGCCTGGCTGCAGCACATACTGGGAGCTGCTCCAGCCTCAACTACAGTGTCAGAGCTTGATGTTAGACACAGGGAGCCATTTTGGGTCCAGCTGCAGTGTCAACAGATGCTGGAGCTACTCAGGGCCTGGGTGCAGCCACAATATACATCAAGAGTTGCTCTGGGCTCGACTGTGGTATCAGCGGATGCCAGGAGCTGCTTGGGGTCTGGCTGCGGCAGCAGTGCATGTTGGCAGCTGCTCCAGGTTCGGCCACAGCACGGGTAGACACTAGGAACCACTTAGGGTCTGGCAGTGGACGTCAGGAACCACTCTGAGCTTGGAGCAGTTCCCAGGCATTGCTGCCACAACTGGGCTTCAAGGTGAGAAGTTTGGCCTGCACCCCCCCCATGAGTTTCATGGCCCCCCACTTGTAATATGCACACTCCACTTCTCTAATGGGTGGGTTCTCTTAGGAGAAGATGAGGAAAGTTTTGTAGAATTTCTTTTACTATCCCATGTCAGAACCCCAGAAAGGGTGATCTTGCACCTTCAGCCCACTCCTACAGTGACTGTCTCCTCCTCATTACTGAAGTAAGCAGTGACTCATGAAAGTTCATCCTTATACGACAATTGAACCCTAAATCCTATAGAACCAATACAATTAGGCAGGGGCGGCTTCAGGAAGAAATTCACAGGCTTTTCTACTCCCTTTCATTCAACATTTTCTTAGTCTAAAGTCCTGCATAACAGCTGCCTTAATGCTGACCCATCCACAAACATTTGCAAGTATTACTTAATTTCTAAAAACCATGCCAGGGTGCAAGTACGCCCGGAAGTCTGGTCTCTAATCTTGAATTGGGCTGTGATTGTTTTCTCTGACTGATGAAGACTTTAAAGGCTAAGGTCCAGTACTGAGTAAATATTGGGGGCGGGGTGGGCTAAACCCTGTTCTCAAGGAAAGTGCAAAATAAGTACCTTCTTGGGCTAGGGCCTTGGCACAGTGATAGTGTTTTGCATCTGTCCCCTCCATCTCCAGTTAAAAGATCAATTAGTCCAGGTATTGCTAAGTGTTTCTTTAAAGGGAGCTACTTCTGAATAATTAAAAGTAACCTGAGCCCCACCCTTACAGGGAAGTTGCAAAGCTTTGGTCTGTTCTAGGAACATAACAAGGATTAGGAAGATCCAGGTGGGGTAGCCGTGCTGGTCTGAAGCAGCAGAACAAAGTTTGAGTCCGGTGGCACCTTTAAGACCAACAAGGTTTAATTCTAGGTATGAGATTTTGTGTGTATGTACACTTCTTCAGTTACAATGAAATGGAAATAGAAATAACAGTCATACATATAGAGGATGGGTAGTAAATAGGCATACAGAATCATGAAGGTGTTTTTAACAGATTAAAAGAATAATAAGATTAGTATATGTGGCTATCATGTTTCAGTTCAGCTGGGGAGGACCAATAATAACATAGGTAATAAAGGTAAAGGTTCCCTTGCTCGAAAGCCAGTCGAATCCAACTCTAGGGTTGCGGTGCTCATCTTCGTTTCAAAGCCGAAGAGCCAGCGCTGTCCAAAGACGTTTCCGTGGTCATGTGGCCGGCATGACTAAACACTGAGTTGCACAGAACGCTGTTACCTTCCCACCGAAGTGGTACCTATTCATCTACTTGCAATTTCTTGCTTTCGAACTGCTAGGTTGGCAGGAGCTGGAACTAGAGATGGGAGCTCACTCTGTCATGCGGCACCCAGGTCTCGAACTGCTGAACTACCGACCTTCCACAGCCTGCAGTTCAGCGTCTTAACCACTTGAGCCACCGCAGCTCCTAACATAGGTAATAAACATGTCAAAATTGGAGATTGATTTATCCTTAATTGTGGAATGGAGAGTGTCTGTCTCCTTTCAAGCATGAAGGCAACCTTACAGCAACTTTTTCTCTGAAGTGGGGCAATTGGATTAGGATTAGGAAGAGTACAGGTTAAACAGAAATATTTAGCTGCTTACAATGAATATTGTCCTTTAAAACAACAGCACCAGAGATTCCTAAAGTTATGCATTCTCACTTTAAGCATCCCTGCATTGCTCACAACCAGGTCACAGGAGATAAAAGTAATTTAAGCATGACAAAGGGGACATTGCTCCTGAAAAAAGGAATCTAATTAGAGGACTTGGTGATGGGCAGACCTGGAAGGGGCAGATGAAAGGAATTCGGTGCACTATCATTTAAAGCGCACTAGAAGCATCTTTTTTTTAAATTCTCCTATTATAAAAAGAGTCTTTAAAAAAGAAAGTTGTCACTTCAGGTTAAGAAGCCTGTTGAACTAAAACAACAAGCGGAACACCCACCCCACCCCACCCCACCCCACCCCACCCAGCCAGAAGCCCTAGAGCTGAAACATGCTCTTATTCCTAGGGAATGCAATCTGCAGCCCTTTGATTGGGGATTATGAATTTAATTTGGTTCTGTCCTGAGGAGGATCACAGCAGTAGTCACAGGAACCTGCCACGCTCCTGCCGTTGCACAGGACTGTTCCTATACAGGAGAGTTTCTGGCTTGTAGTGCTAAATTCCTGTGGGGTAGCCTTTGCAGCAAAAATTGTGTCATTTTGAAGGCTAACCAATCAATTGGTCTCTATGTAGATTCTCATTTAATGAAAAACGAAGCCAGGTATTCTTACAGGAATTTCCACTTCTCACCTTCCTTGACCTATTTAAAACTAATGAGATTACAAGCGACAGGAAGTGATGCTTTCAGCTGATTGTCATCGTTTATTCTGAGGCACTAACCAGGGGGCACTTCTATTGTTCTAGACGGTTGTTGCTCTCCCTCCTCCAGTGAAAGTCCCACGAAAGCTTCCGAGTTCTTTTTGTCTGGCTGGATGATGAAGAGTGCAAAAGAACTCCCAAAGTTGCACATTATTTTGTGATAGTTTGGTTGGTCCCAAATGAAAGCTTTTTGTTTAGAATCAGCAAACAAACACGGCAACTTGCATTTTTTTAAACTAAGGGTGCACCCCTGCTTCTTCCTTGTTTGTTTATTGCTTATTTTAAATTACATTTTTGTTTATCTGCACCCCTTGTGTGTAACGACCCTGACAAAACCACATCTGAAATATGCCGAGATCCAAGTTCTTTTGCCGCCCACTTCCACCTTTAATTTCCCTTACATTTTCGTCTTTACAGCATCTGAAGAAGTTAGCTCTGACTCAGGAAAGCTTATGATGGCATGCAAGTAGGTTGTTAAGCCTTTAATAAAGTGTTGCCGTACTTCTGTTTCACGTTGTTATCCGGAACACGCTTCCCGGGGAGTCAACTCGTAAGAACTTCGTTGGCCTTCTGTCGGCATAAATACATTTAGGAGTGACCTGGTCGTGTGCAAATCCAATTCCCCTCCTCTGCACTGCGTTAACTTTTGCTGTTCAGTCTTCCGCGGAATCAGCCGAAGGTTCTGAGAGCCGTCCGAGGAACACCGGAAACGGAGGGATTACTGTTGCCCGACAGGCAGGCAGGCAGGCAGTCTCCCCCCGCCCCCGTGGAGACGGTGGGCGGAGAGCCCCTCTCGTTTCAAATTCAAACCTCTCCATTCGGCGGCCTGATGGGGAGTTGGGTGTGCCCGCCTCCCCCTCGCCAATAGGCTCCGCGGCCCAAAACCACTCCCCTCCCATAAATACTCCTGGAGGGAGGGAAGTCCAACTACGTGTGTTCTGGGTCCGAGGCTGGCTGCGGGGGAGATGGAGCCGGGAGTGTTCGTGGGGGAAAGCGGTCGCCACACCGCCCGGGGGTCCGCCTCCAGCAGGGTCCCGTGCAGGTATGCCGCCTGGGGGCCTGGGAGGGGGGGGGGCTCTGTCTCTAAGGCTGGCTTCGGAGGCCGTCCGGACCGCGGCTCCTCGGCTCAGAGAGTCCGGGGCATCCGGCCCCCACCTTGTGTGCTCTGGTAATAGTGCCGCTCGACAGCGGAAGAGTCTTTCTGTTCCCACGTCCCCCGTCCCCCCCTTCAGCGGTGACTTACGCGCCACTAAATCACTCCTAGCCGGGGCTGGGAGGTGGAAGTCGGGGCGGGGTGTGTGTGTGTGTGATTTATTTCTCGGTGGAGACTCGCGTTCCAGCGGCAGGGGAAGTTTTGCGGCTTCTCTTTGGGTTGATCGTTCGGCCTAGAGCTTGTAGGACGCTAGCGGCTGTTTGCTTGTCATGCAAGTTCTGGAGGGCCTCGAATACAGGCTTTGAGACAATAAAACACGGCTGAGTGACCCGTAGTTCTCCCTGGTGCTCGGAGGAGGTGGACTTCTCCAGCCAACTTCGCACGTAGTGTTTACGAGAGGCCGGGGATTCGAATGCGTTGCAGAGAGGCGGGGCGATAAACTGTGGGCTGGTTGGGCGGGATCTTTTGCCGGGCTCCGGGCAAATACTGCCAGATCGTCTTCTTTCTCTCCTACGTGTGAAAGGACAGGAAAAAGCTGTTAGCAATGCTACATTCACTTTTAAATGGAATCAGAATGTGGAATGGAGTCCAGTAGCACCTTTGAAACCTTTTTGGGGCTATAAGTTTTCCGGAGTCAAAACTCCCTTTCTCAGAATGTGAAGTGTGACTTGAATGTGGCTAAACTTTTTTTTGGGGGGTGGGGCGGTGGCCTGTAACTATTGTGCAGGTAATTTCCCCCTGTTCTTCCATTCTCTTCGGGAAGAGACAGACTTTGTGATAGAGTCTCCCGCTGGAGAAACGCAGCCCCTTGGGGCAGGCTTGTATCAGGCAAAGGACTGACTGGTAACATTAGTGGACAGAAACAAACGAACTCTTCCACGAAATGTAAATAATTTCAAGTACTGTATGCCTGATATTGGCTAATAAGAAGAAGAAATTGTAAATTCTTATGTTCGTCCATGCAAAATCCATAAAAACAAGAACAAACTCTGTGAAAACAGCTTTTAATAGGGCCAACTAAATGGACACAGAACACAGCAAACTTTTGAGCTCACTGAAACTCATCACCAGCCTGGATGTTACAAAATATGAAAAAGACAGAGGTGTGGGAAACAGGTTTTTCAGGTTGTGAGATTGTGCCCTGATCTTAGGGAAGGCCTATTTTTTTCTGCAATTGTATGTGCATTTTCAAGAACTTTAATGATCACTTCATACTCCTTAGTGGTTACTACTATTCATGTACTTTCCCACCATCCAGCTAATGTGGGAGGAGGCCCATCCATCCTCTAAAGGCTATCCGGTCAACCCCCCTACAACTGTTTCTCTGGGTGTTAAATAAACCAGATTTACTAGGGTCATAAAGTGCAAGGCTAGAGACTGGGGGTGATGAATGGTATAAGGGACTACTCTAAATCCTGGAGCCAAGATCTATCCTTTGTCTGAGGATGTAGTCAGTTCAGTCATGTCCCAGTTGAATGTAGGACCCTGGAGAGATATTCCAGGGAGGCAGATATATGCAGAGTGATGGGATACCCATTCCAATATCTCTTCCTTGTTTCTCTTTTAGCACCTGAATGAATTTATTTTTCCCTTTAATTGCACTGGTCTGGCTACTGCTCCCCATATGCTCTGAAGAAGCATGACAGGGCTAGCCTTGAGGTAAAGCAAGGCTTGCAGACTCCACTGGGTAGAATTTTCAGCAATAAAAATGAATGTATTGCCAAAAAAAAATCCAAATGCTACCTATACATGTAGAAGAAAGAATATTGACAGAGTGGCAAAGACAGATAAATAAATTTATTTGGAATGGCAAGAAACCATGAATAAATTTTAAAATACTCCCAAGATGAGAAAAGGAGAGGAGAGTTAGCAGTTCCAAATATAAGATTATATTATCAAGTGGCAGGTCTGGTCTGGATTATGGATTGGATTAAAGAAATTAAGTTCACAGCCAGGTGTTAAATAGAAAATTGGTATAAAATGTTTTTCAGATGGTATATTACTCCCAAGAGAAATTGAGAAAGTAAACAAAAACTACAAGAGAAAATGTTGGAAATGTCAAGATATAGATGGAACTTTTTACCATATGTGGTGGACTTTTGGAAGGAAATACATGGAAAAATGCAGAATATATTAAAATTTAAATTCCCTATGAAAGCTAAGAATTTTGGAAGAGATATTTGAATATATAGTGACAGCGAGTAGAATAATCTACACAGCAAAATGGAAACCAGAGGTCTGTCTAAGCTTAGAAGAATGGGAAAATAAACTTGCCAATTATGCAGTAATCAAGGACTGAGGGAGGCTTAGCCAATCACAATATGCTGTAGACCCAGTCACATTAGAGCTTGCTAAAGGAGCTCCCTAGTCACCAGAATCTAAGCGCGATAGCATACATCAAAATTTGTATAAGAACTAGCATTTTGAAATATGGCTTGCAGCACTTCATGCTTGTGAAGAAACTAACCTGATGAAGGACACGCAAACGGATAATTTGTCTTAATTTGTTTCTGTAACTAGTAACTTTGTATGTACTGCTAAGCTTTATGTCTTATACAGTAGTGATATTGTTGTAATCTTGTTAATAATTGAATTCTACGCATAACATATAAAAACTAACAAATATTGTTTAATTGTACACGGTGATTTACTGTTTTACTGGCTATTATACACCGTGGTCCTGTTGTTGTAGTAAATTATGCAGTAATGGCAAAATTAACAATTTATTTGAGAAACAGATCACATGTTAAGTTTGAGGAGAGATGGAGTGTTTATTATGTAAGCAGGAGACAAACTTAGAATGAGAAACAGTTTAAAAATGTATATAAATGTATTGCAATACATATAAGTGTATTACAGTGTAGAAATAGAATGAGAATAAGTTTTGAATATAAATGTATAAGAAAGTGCATTCTTTTTAAAAGAGTTTTATTAGTTTTTCAAAAGAAAAAGAAAATACAACAACTACAAAGAGAGAAAGACTAACATACAACAAATATGGAGTCTGTTCTCATTGTATCTACTTAAATTTTGCATAGATAGAATCATTCTGTTATGCACCTAGTTCAGTTTAACATATTAGCACATAGAGCTTATGTTTTAAATATTATGTAACACATTTTGCGAGATAGTCCTCAATCCAAGATTCGGAACAAAATACCTTTTTATTTTTTATTGTGAGATATATAATAGACTTTAAACTTTGGTATGTTAAAAGCTATAGCTAGTATGTAGAAATGATGAAATATGTAACATAGAATATGTAGTAATAATGAAATTAATAATATAGTTACAAAATAGATCAGTTACGAAATTTAAAAAGTTTGAAATAAGGACTATTGTATTTTATAGAAAATGTCTTATAGAGAGCCAGTTTGGTGTAGTGGTTAATCTGGGAGAACTGGGTTTGATTCCCCACTCCTCCACTTGCACCTGGCTGGATGGCCTTGGGCAAGCCGTAGCTCTGATAAGAGCTGTTCTTGAAAAAGAGCAGTTTCTGTCAAGAGCTCCCTCAGCCCCACCTACCTCACAGGGTGTCTGTTGTGGGGAGGGGAGGGGAAAGCAGTTTGTAAGCCGCTCTGAGACACTTTTGGGTAGTGAAGGGCGGGGTATAAATCCAATCTCCTCTTCTCTTCTTCTTCTTCTTATGAAGGGAATGTTGGGGCGAAACAATCTCTGTTCTATATACCCTGTAATGTATAAATAACCTTTGATTTCTATAATTTGTTATATAATCCTTCTTTTCCTTTTATATCATCTTGTTTTTTAAAATTAAAAATTAAAAATCTTCTGAGATGTATTAGTCTTTAAAGAGCCATGAGGGTTTCTGGTTGTTTCACCTTAATTGTCAGGCAAGAGCTCTCTCGTGCACCTTGGTTAGTTAAGTGCGGAGGAGGGGTGTGGATCATGGTTAGCAGTGTAATATCTTTGGTACCTACCATTACATTTTATGGTACACATGGCCTGGCCAAACAAAGTGACATTTATGTCAGATCCGGCCCTTGTAACAGATGAGTTTGACATCTCTGTTCTTACCGCTATGTCACAATGGCTCTCTGGTTTTCAGTGGCACTTGTGAAACTGGACTAAGTACAATGCTCATGTGGCTTGTTAAGGAGGGGTTTAAGCTACAACCTGCGAGTGTGTAACTTCTGTAGCATAGGGTAGGTCAACACGTGTTTTAAAAGATGAAGTTGCTTGTTTAAGAAAGCATCCAGGAATATTTTCAAGGGCATATTTAGATACTTGCTCTTAATGTGATTATCTCAGTGATTTCTGGCCACGTAAGGCTGCTGATCTTATTTGGATGGGCTACAATAGAGGTAGAAAACTATACAATTATTCCATAAGTGATAGTACAGTATGGCACAGTGGGCACCCTCATGTTAATGTCTTTCCTTTTTGTGGGGAATGACATACAGTATATTCAGTTCCCAAAAAACACACCAATCCTAGTGGTCCCTATACTAGGGTGGTATTTTGGTTCTCAGATTATACTGATTGGGTATGGTTAGTAAATTCAGCTTTTGCTTTGTATTCAGGAACTTTGCCCGTGGAGCCTGCAGATGGGGACAGAACTGTCGATTTTCCCATGACAGGAAGATGACTCAGATCTGTAGGTATTTCCAGAATGGGTTCTGTGGCTATGGAGACCGTTGCAGGTAAACAAAAACCTATATTTTTCTTTCCATGCTCTGCTCTTTGCTTACTAGATAAAAAAAAATGGATGCTTAACAAAATGATCAATTGTTTCAGATATTTGTCTTGTTTCCCCTTTTTTTGAAGGAAAGTGGGATTCCAGGGAGTCTAATAAAAAACTATCAGATTGATATTTTACATGGATTCAAATCTTCTCATTTTATTCCATGTATAGATTAAACCCTTGACTTAGATGCACCAGAAAATTTCTACGGACAGATTTCCAACCATGGGATGCAGCTTTACTTTTCTCATCCCACTGCATCCCGAATTGCTGCTTGGGAAGGGATTCTGGATTGCAATTCTGGGGGTGGGATATGGAGCAGAGGCAAGAAAGTGACACTCTGTGGTTGGACTTCTTTCCATCTGCAATAATACTCTGGTGGCTCCAGTCCTACATGTGTGCAACAGCACTGTGTGTTATGTCCATATCATGGGAGTGAGAACAGTGGCTAGATAAATAACACCTAGTGGCTTTGTATTTGAGGAGAACAAGCGACTTTCCAGCCTTAAATCACAGTGAATCACAGTAAATACAAAATTTTCTTCTGGTTCCTCTTCTATAGTATTAAGGTCATAAGAGAGTCTAATAATCTCAAAAGTGTGTGTGTGTTGTTGTTTTTTTACATTGGATATTATAGTTAAGTTGGTTGGATGGGGAGGTAGTGAGAAATTTTGGTAGGGAGGAGAACCATTGTGAAATTCAGTAATGGGACTGCTGAGCTCCAGGGCTTAATCAGGAACGTCTTGAGCGTCTTTCTGAATTTTAGCAGTCCTATGCAATAGTACTGATTTGAGGTTTGGGTACAAAATTGCTGTATTGTGCAGTGTAGGATGTGGGTTTTTAACAACTCCTCCCTGTGCTATGTACAACTTTTTGGCAGGGGTTGTTTACCTCGTGGGGTACATCCCCTAATGCTGTCTTGCTTCATGTCAGGATCATTTCCATTATCAGGGGGACTGAGCAGGCCAATCAACCCACCCACACACCCTGATACTGAGCTTCTAGGAAGCAATGCACATGCTTATTTACTTCATTTATACCTTGTCTTCCCGATGGGAGCTTGAAGTGGCTTCGTTCATTCTTCTGTCCTCCATTTTATCCTCACAATAACCCTCTGAAGGTAGGTTAGGCTAAGTGACTGTCCCAAGGTCACACGGCGACTTAAACCTGGTCTTCCAGATATTCCAACACTAACTGCCACACTACAAAGATCCTTTGCCTTGGGCTGTTCAGGGGCACTTTTCTTTCTAAATTTCCTAGAATGCAGGATCTTCTGCTTTGTTTGTAGATGACCCATTTCATTGCCCTACTGAGTGGCATGGAAGCAGTCAAGTTCACTATTCATCATGATGCTTAGCTCTGAAGCTCTGGTTTAGACTAAAAAGACTAGCTAGTCACTGATGATCTCGCACGGTGAGGTAATGGAGTTAGATTTTTACAGGGTGGAAGCAACATTCGTTTGCTGTGCTTTGAATGAAATTCCATCAATATTCAATCTCTTAGCTACCAGCATATCTCGGAAGCACCAACCTTGAGCAGATGTGGCTCAGAGTCTGCCTTCCATGGATTACAGGGAGGTGTGATTTCAGTGAACCGCCGGGGCTCAGAGCCAGCCATCTTGCCAGAGTCTTCTGTAAGGAGCTGGGGAGGGGGAGCCCGGCGTGGCTCTGAACCAGCTGTCTCGAGTGTGGCGCAGCTACAGTGGAACTCTGGAAGTCTGAGCCTGTCACTTGACGAGGAAGATGAAGACAAGGAAACAGTGATCACTACATGCCATCCACCTAACTGGGCTCTCAGCAAAGAATTTGTCCCCAAGCAGACCCCTTCTGGTAAGTTCCTTGTTGTACTAGTGCTGGAAGACTGGTGTGTGGTGGCTGGCACTCTTTTTGCAGTTCTTATTGTGGGGGGGGGGGCAGCATTACCAAGCATGTGGGAGAGGCACATTGTCTTTCTACTACAGTTGAGTTTGAGAACATTAGAGATGGTATTTATTGGACTTGACACATTCTGGTTCTCCTGTGAGCTAAGAAACTGCTTTGATTAGCCTTTTCCCTCTAACCACTTTCTCTGCTTAATCTAACTTTGATTGGTGATCCACAGTCCTCATATAAAAATGTCTTGGTGTGCTAAAACAATAGGATTTTAACTCATCAGTGTATTCTAATGCAGCCAAGAAGTCTACTCAACCTTCCTCTCATCCATTTTAAGCACATTTTGAGGCCTCTGTAGTCACATGGGAGTGATCGTAATTGTCACTAGCTTCTGCATGTCTAGAATAAGGGCCATTTCTTTGTGCTATGTTGGATAGACTGGTATCAGTTATCCATCCTGCTTAGCTGTCTCTCTGCTGGTCAGGCTCTCGGCCCCATGAACATAAAGTGGACACCGCATCCCTAGAGACAGAAGATGCAGCTACTAAGGAGTCACCTACTGCTTCTGTGGTCATACAGGAGCCAAAGGTAGGTTGGACATTTGGAGCATATGTATGTGGCAAATTGATACAGTCCTTCATTGTGTTGGTAAATCACTTTGGGCACCCTAACCAGGTGGTGTTAAGATTTGGATAGTGGAGAGGTCAGAAGTCTATTTGTTGGGTTTTTGGTGTTCTTTTTCTGAAAGCACTGGGAGCTGTGGAATGAGGCAACAAATGATACAAGACATTGAGGTCCTTGCCATTCTCTTCATGGTATAACTCCTAGTCCCCCTTGATTTGGTCCCCTTGATTTGATCCCCCCAATTGTTTATTTTCCCAGTAATTTTACCACATAGGATAATAAATCAACAAACTCCATGAAAGCCTACCACCACCCTCTCTCTCCACATAGCTCATCAACAAGAGAAGAAAGTAAGAGCTACGCACACTTGCACGGCTAAGAGTAGAAATTTGAAAGGGGAGGGGAGTGAGAAGGAGGAGAGGTGAGAGGCAGTAATATGGATCCTGCTAAAAAAGGAGTGGGCATCACTGCTCAAAGAGATGTAAGCAATCTTGCCAGATAGAAGTGAAGATCTCAGGAGGTTCTCTTCTGTTGTATGCAGTTTTCTCTCTTATACAAAGATTGAATGTATCATTGACCCAGGTTGCCAGAAATGTGTGTCAAATCAATGGATGTAAGTGCATTTTGCCATTGGGACAAGTGGATTGAGGTATTTAGTTCCAAGTTCCACTGGGAATGAGTTAGAATCTAGATAATATTTTATGTTTCTTAAAAAGTTGTATATAAGTGATGGTTTGTCTAGAGAGAATTTTGGAGTAGAGAAAGCTGTGTGTGTGAATCCTGAGGCTGCAGAAGTCTTAGAACCTAAAGAAGAGATTGGTCTGTGTTTTAACTGGACATATTGCCAACTAGCTATGACTGAGAGATTGGATTCTGTGCACAGATTGTTGAAAGGTTTGAAATTAACATTTGGTCCAGTCAACTGAGATAAGGAATACTAGACCATTAGACACCCAGTGCTTCAAAAACCAACCCCCCCCCCAACAAGCAACTTCCTTGTTCCTGTCTTAATCTTATGATTTTCCCAGATGATTAGATCCTTGCATGTGAATGGGGCAAAGGCCAACTTAAATTCTTTAACAAATTTAAGAAATCGGTTCTCTGACAAGCTATATATCCTGCTGCATGATGTAAAAATTTGAAGCTGCCCCAGTCCAGCGTTTCCTAGAGTTTTTAATAACAGACCCAGTGGTAAAGTACTAAATGAGTGTAATGTTTTGTTCTTAGGCAGCCAGTGGTTCAGGAGCTGCAGCAGCAACAGCAGTAGAGAAGAGTGAGGATGTGGTATGTGGCATCTGCATGGACAAAGTCTACGAGAAGACTTTACCTGAGGAGCGTTTATTTGGTATTCTTCCTAACTGCAGCCATGCCTATTGTGTGGGTTGCATCCGGAAGTGGCGGAAGAGTCGGGACTTTCAGAATGCAGTGATAAAGTAAGCACGTCATGATAACAACTTGTCTCATGCTACTGGGTGGTTTTTCAGGGTGCTGTCTGAATTGTGTACATATGTGGCCAATGGCATCCTGGTAGGAAACAACCTATTCTCTGGAGATTCTGGGACCCTTGTGATAGTTCTTCTGTAGTATTAAGAACATTTCCTGTGCATTAGTTACATATAGCTCCTGTTTCTCGTGCCCTGAGCTCCTTGGAGCTGAGTATTCATGTAATGGTTAAAAGCCAGTTCCTTGGTCCTGTCTATCGGTCTCTGCAGTGACCAGTAAATGAAACCCCGGGCAGGACTATGCAGATAAGAGCAGGCTCAGTTCTCCAAGGTTTCCTTTAAATTCTGGGGAACATGAGTTGCAATCAATAAAGTGGCTGAAAGACAAGCAAAACCTGCCCTGAAAAATGGGGTTATAAGGTACAGTTCCCACAGGGATAAATCCAAGTGTTATATTTGAGAATATTATATATAGGCATAAGCCTCCTTCAAGAAAGAACCCTATGGATAGGTGTGTGGGTGGAAATAAGTGTCCCTGAAGTACATGGCCACCTCTCCACTTGCTTCTTTCTACCTTTCTGCTAGTAAATAGACATGGCTTTTTGCTAGTTAATCCCAGGTTCCAGGTCACTATGGTGCCAAGAAATTTCATTGTCAGCAAGTTTAATTCTAAATAAAGTGATTTTAAAGCCATGGAAAAAACACATTCTTCCCCATTTAGGGGGATTGAAATATATGAAATACTTTCATATCAAAGCTAGAACTTTATTGATTGAACATATATTGTGTCATTTATAACTTATTGACATATTTATGACATTTAAATGTTTAAATGTCTTTACAAAAAAAATTGCAACTGTTACCTAGTAGCTGAGAGAAAATTGCACCCTAGGCTATCATAATACATGTATCTTAATTTTTGCCATCTGAGAAGTAGGGGGAAAATATAAGTTGAAGGTAGTACATAAAGTAGTATTTGGACAGAAACACTTTCATACAGTCACAACAGGTAGATTACCTCAATAGTTTAATTTTGACGTAACATTGAGAGAATGAAATTTTAATGCATTATCATTAAACACAGTATAGCATATTAATTGTTGCCAAAATTGTTTAAACAAAAATATTCTTGAAAATGTAATGTCTACATAACATAAAATTATAATTTGATACTATAGATTATCTCTCATTTCACTCATTGAAAAATCATTATTCCTTTTCAGTGCTCCCCCCAATTTCCCAAGTTTTCCATTAGAAAAATTGAGAAACGTCACAGACTTTATAATGGTATACACTTGGAATGACTGAAATACTTTAACACAAGGTTTCTCTTGCTTAAAAAGAGTAAATATTTCATAGGCTTTTTAAATTGCTCCCTAAAATGTCCCTTTTTTCCATTGGAAAATTTGAAAAAGACCAAGGTCTGCTGTCTAATCCTGAATATGCAACAAAGGGCTGTATGGAGCTGTTTACTATAGCATCTCTGAGAGAGTTGCAGCAACAATTCTGCCAAGCCCCCACACTGGCTGTTCTAGCAGGTCCAGTGTGGACACTGGTTTCAGCTATAAGGAGGTCAATGATTCATAAGCCTGGTCTGTATATTGTATCTGTATGAAAAGTCACATCTGTTACAGCTGTGGTGATAAGTTACCAAAACACAGAATGTGGTGAAAATTTTTGTGCAAATGGGCCTCAAAATGTAATTCAACTTGATGAGCAAAGATAGATATTGCGTGATAGAACCTGAGAGATACGTTCTCCTAGATACGTTATTATGCTTGCTTCAAGGGTTCTGGTGGGACCCTTAAAAATGCTGCTGTTTTAAGAGTTTTATACTCACAAAGAGAATTCATTGCACCTTATGTCTTGTATATGCCTTGTATGTACATCACTGTTCTTGAAAAAGATTGTATTTGATAGGGGTAAATTACTAGAGTCCTGTGGGACTAGTGATTGTGAAACTGACAAGGTGCTGTTTGAAAGTGTAAACCTGCACTTTGATGGATAGTTTTGGTGAACCTGTTTGGTAATACTTGACACTAATATTTATATAATAGTATAGACAAATTTAAAAAATAAAAAGCACAAAATAGACATAGTGACATAGCACTAGTGACATAGCAAAAGCAGCAATGCAAGGGGGGAGGAGGAGAGGGGTGGGACAATGGAATGTTGAATCCTTTGCAAGTTCTCATGGGTTCCCCACTTGTTCATATAAAATACCAGAACTCTTTTGCAACTTTGCATACAAGTGATTCAAGGACATCCCTGATTTGTCATACTGTGAGTGAAGCAATTGTGAGTCTTGGTGTGATGTGTTCTTGCTGATAAGGCAGCTAGTTCCAACTTGCAGCTTTGGGGACACTGATCTTGATTTCTTTCTACCTTGAAGGTAGAAGGCAGCTGGTAGCTAGGCAGTATGATGGCTCCAGAGGCCACATAAATTGTGAATTTTACCCCACAGTCATATGAATTGCGAATTACTCATCCCAATATCTGTTCTTAGGGGCTGTCCAGAGTGCAGAGTCACTTCAAGTTACTTTATTCCTAATAAGTATTGGGTCTCTGATACAGATGAGAAAGAAAAACTGATTGAGACTTTCAAGGCACGGACTGGGTAAGAAACAGACTCTTCAGAAAAGTCACCTGAACGCTCTCTTTCTGTTACTGTATAGATCTTAATTCGCTGCCATTAAGCTTCTGTAACTAGAGTTTTGAACTAACACCATAGATCTTGCAGAAACAACCCAGTTACCAGTTTCCAGGCTAATCTTAATAATTTTGTTCATTCTTCTAGCAAAATAAGATGCAAATTCTTTGTCAGAGGCAATGGTCACTGCCCCTTTAAGTCAGAGTGCATTTATCTTCATGAGCTTCCGGGAGGCCAAGTCCCCATGCCTCGCCCACGACAAAGACCTGATCGGCGGAGACGGAGGCCCATCGTAAGTAAAACTACTTTTATCTTCATTTCCTGATGAACCGTATAAGTTACCCCCAAAGAAAGATGTCATTCTTAGGGATGATCCAAGACCTTATGTCACTTAAAGATACTATATCTTAGGATTCAATGGAGTCCCACAGAATGTGACATAAAAATGTCGCCGTAGCTGACTGGCATTGTCACCCTCAACAATTCCTCTAGTTGTAGGACTGGCCCTTCACATTCCTATGCACAAACTTTGCTTTATCAGCAGCTAGATCCCTAGACTGTATTTCCTTCTTTAAATTGTGTATGGCAACTGAACTATTGCTACTCACCTAGTATACTTGGTTTCATTTGTTTGCCTTGCAAAATCTGTACAGACATGCAGCTGCTTGACACAGAATCTGTGCTGTGATTACAACAAATGTGTTTTATCATGTTCCAGATCTACAACCCATCTCCATCCGAAAGCTCTGATGAAGATGACAGCGACATATGCCTTGTCCAGTGGGCTCTCACCATTGCGCTGTTAGAGAGAGACTCAGATTTTTCCAACTTTCTGTTTTGGGATTCCAGCGATTCTGATTAGGTGATGATGACCAAATCATTGGAGGCTGCATAGGTGATTCTGGGAACAATCTCCATGACCTAAGAAATGGTGCCTAGGGAGAAAGGGTATAGAAAGATGTTTTGACTTTTAATAGGCTTAACTTTCGGTGGGTCTTGTAGTATTTCACTGGAAACCAGAAGTTGAGAGCATGTAGTGCAAAGACCCATTTCATACTGGGAATGCCTCCTGATTCACGGGAAAAATATTACCACTGTTGGCACATGACCTTCTACATATCACTGCCATTTTTCTATCCCTTGCATTGTCATTATCTTCCCATCTTTCTGTCTCCACACAGTTCACATCCTGGATTTCCTATCATGGGATCCGTCAAGAGTCTCCCAGTCATGTTTTCTAGAAGAGTTGCCAGGTTATTGTGCTCAGTCTTTATATACTCTTCAGAGGCAGAGTGTTCAGCTTTGCTCATGCTGCTGCTGTTATTTGTTTCCTCAGGAAGGCAGATTTGCTGAGCAGTGCTATTGTCTACATCAGGCAATGTCTCTTGCTGCTCTGTTAGCAGTGCTATCTGGTGTCTTTAGTAGGCTTAAGCCAGGGTGTAGTATGGGTGGTTTAAATGTAATATCTGAATTTTTTATTGATGCAGTGATTAGTATTGGAGGCTTCTAATTATCATTAATCCTTAATCCCCAGTCCTTAGGATCTGGGATCAGCAAGCCCCTATATGTATTTTTAACTCTAGAAGTATCTGGAGAACGTGAAATAAAATGAGCTTTAAAAATGTAGCCACACCAAGTCTCTTCTTGTTGATGACTAACTACAACTTGTGGTAAGATCCAATACCATTGGTTATGTTTAAGTAACAATATGGACACAAGTGTATTCAATTATCTTCTGTGTTCTGCAGTAGCTTTTAGTGTTGAAATGTTTGTGCCTTTCTTTTCGTCACAAGGAATTTCAACTTCAATAAGGGTAGTTATAAATTAGAACATTCAAATATTGTGGAATCTTTGAAACGCTTCTAAGGATGCCTTTGTAATCTTAAATCATACTGACCCAATTCTAGCGGTGGGGGGGATTAAATGCTTCCCCCCCCAAGGGAGCTGTTTTTTCAGTCTGTTGGGTAGTTCATTCCTTGTGGGCCAGTTGTGCTTCTAGTTCTGTTACAACCTGTCCACTAAGGATGGTCATGAACCAAGATAAGTAACAACTTGGACGCTATAAAACATGTCCTTAAATTGATATTTTGGGTGCTTTAAGAACATATATAGCAGATAACTACATTAATCACTTCCTTTAAATGCTGAAAACCCATTTCTACCTACAATTGCATATAGGTACAAGGTGTAATGCTGACAGCCAGAGAACAAACCTTGCTGTACTTAATAGTACTGTGCTCATAAAAACCTGGTGTAACTAATTGTAGAAGATTTTCAGTTGGTGCATGGTCAAGAGGAAGTGTTCCCAAGGAGAGACTTGAAAGTATGTTGGTAGCCTACCCTGGTTGGTAGAATCACCTGGTAGAATCAACTGGGTGAGGTGGTGCTTCTCTTTTTACAGAGAGCAGATTGCTTAAATCTATTTGTTAGCTTTTGGCACCGGTTACTTAATTTATTCTGACATTTTCTGCCTTCTCACCAACCCCTTACCCAAGGAGATGGCAAAAGACCTTATCTTTTAAGCATCTGTGTGACAGGTATGCTTCCTTAACCAATGAACACTAGATACCCATCCGTACTGTGGCCAGCCAATCTGGATGGCTGGAAGTGTTGGGCTGTTGCTGATGGAAAGGTGGGGTCAGTGCTAGCTGCTGGGGCCTTCAAAGCCTGGTGACAGACCAGCAGGGGTAGGCCAGGCCAGGCTGTTGAAGAGGCTGGGGGAAAGCTACAGGCTGCTCATAGCGAGGGAGGGCAGGAGGAGAAGGCCACAGGAGGAGGAGGCAGCAGCAGCACCACCAGAGGAGCTTCCCAGGACCCAGAAGGAATTTTAATCTAGGGAAGGTAGAACAGGGGGAGGTCTACACAGATTGGCAAGGTCTGAGGGCTTGACTATAGAGGTGATTGCTACTAAATCTACTGGCTGTTTGGGGGAACTGGGGACATCAGAAGGGTGGAAGGTGTGGAGGTTTGAGGGCTCCACGAGGGGCATTGGGCAGGGCCATTGTGTACAAGGACTGAGGGATGTGCCAAGGAGGAGCAGGTAGGGACCCACCCTGGTAATAAAGACAAGGAACCCGGTTTGATTCCATCCCTGAGGGTGACACCTACAGAGGGGTAAGGGAAGCTGTTATACTGGCTGATGGTTGTAATGCTGAATAGTTCTGCTGATCTAGGGCTGCTGAGCATCATTCTGGGGATATACTGAAGATGAGCTTCCAGCAGTATTCTGATAAGATTCTACTCCATTTCCATCACCCTGCAATTAGTTTGCTTTTCCAGAGTTTGATCACCAGATTGATATACAGAAACAATTCATGCAAGAATGAAATGACGAATAGGCCCTGTCTGCTTGCAGTAGTGTACATACAAGAAATGTCTGTAATGGATACAGTTCTGCTGTTTCCTACCTTGGACTGTTTCTTGTGTCATTCCTGTACCTTGACCACCAGTTCAGACAGAAAGTTACTTATATTTGGTCACTTATGGCAACCTTAGGTACAATCTGGCTTTGCATTCAGCTAATATCAAGGCTAGATTGTATTTAAGACTGACTATACAAGCTCAATAAGAATTTGTTGTTCCAACACAACCTGGTATGCCCCTCTTTATGACAGTCACAAAAGCACCTCTGCTTATATTCAGTGTTGCCACTCACTGCTTTGTAGCTTTCCATGTACAGTTAAATATAAGGTCAACATCCCAGCCAATCCTTTACCCTCCTTCTTCACTCATATGGTAATCTATAGATAGTAGTAGTGAATTCACGATGTACTTGTCAGTAGCTGTATAAGCTTTCTCCCAGAAGAAACTCGGTAACAACCTCTTCTGGTTTTCAAAGATTCTGTGGCTGCGGTCACACGCAACATTAGCCACGCAAGAGATATGGAAGACAAGCGGAGTTTCCGGTCGCGATCTCACCAGCACATCTGGGAAGCGTAGCGCTTCCGTGGCACAACTGAGGCTTCCTGCCAAAAAAGCGCAGCAAAAAACTAGTACCTTGGAGGTACTAGTTTCCGGAAACTGCGGGGCAAGGGCGGGCGTCTGATCGCGTTTCCGGTGGTATCCGGCGCCCGCCCATGTCCCCTTGCGGAAAAGGGTTTTTTTCCCCCACGTCTCCGTGGATGCGCACACGCACCCAACGGAGCATGCGCATTCGTAGTGTACACAAAAAAAGAAAACCAGTTCGCCGCGCCGCGCGCTTCTTCATTGCGCGCAGGCGTGTGTTGTGATCGGCACCTCTCCCTTGCCATGGAACCTCCACAGTACCTCCACAGAACCTCCACAGTAGGTCTGATCGCTTTACTGCATGTTAGTTTGCCCCGGGGCAAACAGCCACACTTCTCCTCTGCAGTTTCCTGCCCGTGTGGCAGGGGCCTATCTTTATTTAGTTCTGACTGACAACCAATCACAAAGCCACTTATCAGCCATTCAGTTGAGCAGGTAAGTATGGAAGGAATGTGGAAAACAAAACTGCATGGAAGGTGCTCAGAATCTCATCAAGAAGCTGTGTGCACAAGGGAAGAGGCTAGCAGCAGAAAATACACATACTAATTGAAGATAAATCTGTATCCACTTACTGTTGTGAGTTTGGTTCATGCTACACTGACTTATAAAAGGAGGTCCCAAAGGATGCTATACAACTCTCTTGTAGCCAAAGCATTTTTCTGAAACAGTGCATGAACTTTATATAGGGTGAAATCAGTGTATCCAGGCCCTGTTTAGTAGTCTACCTTTGGAATTAATCCCTTCAAGAGGGAGGACTTAAATTCCTTGCCTCTCAAACCATGAAGGCTAAAATTACTTTAAGCATCATGTGGCCTCTGGCATCACAAACTGACAGATCTTTGGCCTAGAGTGATTTTTCTCTCTTGCTCTTCAGTGTAGTAATATTTGTGGATATATTACAATAACTTCACATAAGGCAAGGTGAGGGGGCCAGGGTTAGTCTTCAGTGCTGAAATATGTAAAGCAAAAATTAAGTGGGAACCTATTCAAACTGGTCCTTTAGGCAGTGGCTAACTTGCTAGTATGACTCCTGAGAGTGGGGGGTGTCAGCTAGGCCTCTGGCTATACTAGCTGCCATGGGTGTGGGGGGGGGACTCTGGACTTTTGTTTCTGCTGTGGTTTCAGTCTTTCTTTATCTATGTAACCGAAGCCTTTGACCTTGAGTGTCTGGTGTACTTTTCTTCTGAGAATTATTGCCCGTTACTTTGGCGGGTTTCTACCTGGCCTCTGATTGGACCTGAGCCATCAGGGGACCCTCTTGAATAATGCAGGGGTGGAAAATGGCCAGTAAAATCAGTAAAAGTTTTTTCATCTTGGTCAGTAATTTGTCAGTTTTTTAAAAAATTGGTCAGTAAAGTCAGTATTTCTTTGATTTTTGTGAATGCAGTTTGTGTTTTTCTGTTTTCATTACTGCATTTTTGGGGAAACACGATGACTTCAGTTTAGTTATGAAGTACTTTAAGGACTTTGTTCCTAAGAGTAAAAATGATTTGGTGAAATCTTCCACAAAGTATAGAAACATAATTAACCTCTTAAAACATGAGACAATGAAAGTAGAGGTGATGGATATTGTGGGATTCAACATGGCACAGCTCATGCTAGAAGGAGTTGAGGAAGCAATGGAAGAAGAGGACAAGGGAAAAAATGCTTGTGGGTGCAGTGCAGAAAACTATTTAGAAACGAAAGAATTAGTGAATAACTTTATTTATTTATTTATTCAATTTATACCCCGCCCTCCCCACCATAGTGGGCTCAGGACAGCTTAAAAAGAGATTAAACATATAGGTAACAAATTATATACAATCTTAAAACAAAGAATAAAACTCTATATTATCATAAAGTGCTGGTAAGTGATCAGGTACTTATAGCAAAGCTTACAGAAGGCGGAACCAATACTAGTGTTGTAATCAGATGATCTATATTGGTGGTTGGCTCATCTCAGTCTCTATATTTAGGCAACAGCATAGGCTGTTGGTGGTAAGCCAAGGAACAGGGCACTGTCACTTCTCAGTTATTTGATGTTATTTGGTGCGGCTCCTTAGTCAAAGGTCTGGTGGAAGAGCTTCGTTTGGCAGGCCCTGTGGAACTGTAAAAGGTTCCGAGGGCCCTGATCTCTTCTGGGAGCTACCACTGAGAAGGCCTGTCCCTGGTTGTGGCCAGCCTGGCATCTTTAGGACCTGGGAGGCCAATCGATTTTGTGACCCTGAGCACAGTGCTCTCTGGAGCATGTGGGGAAAGGCATTATTTCAGGTATGTGGCCCCTGACCACAAAGGGCTTTAAAGGTGTAAGTACCAGCACCCTGAAGCAAATTCGGTATGCTATCGGCAGCCAGTACAGTATGCTATCGGCAGCTTTCAGCACAGGCTGGATGTTGTCCGGCATAGGGAGGCCCATCAGAAGCCTGGCTGCAGCATTTTGCACTAGGTGTAGCTTCTGGATTTGGGTCAAGGGCAGCCCCATGTAGAGAGCATTACAGTAGTCCAATCTCGAGGTGACCATCGCATGGATCACAGTCGCCAAGTCATTGCATTCGAGGAAGAGAACCAACTGCCTAATCAGCTGGAGGTGGTAGAAAGGATCTAGAATGGAAGTGGCATCCAAAAAGCTCTGTAGCGGAATTGCCACGGCCCTCTCAATTATTTTGCCAAAATAGGGCAGTCAGAAACCCATCACAGCCAGCTTTAATTAGCCATGATGGGCACGGGTCAAGGCAGCACGTGGTAGGGCATACAGTTAAGAGCAGTTTGTCAACTTCTTCCAGGCTGAGCGGACTGAAATAATCCATAACTTGACTAGAAGACGTGCATGGAGTCTCAAGTTCACTTACAGTCTCAACTGTGGTGGGGAGGTCACGGCAGAGTGGCAGGACTTTATCTGCAAAGTAGCTCTCAAAGGCCTCACAGCCAGTGTCCAATTCCCTAAGATTTGGTCTGCCTTGTGGCAGAACAGTCATAGACTGAATTATTCTAAATAATTGGCCTGGGCATGAGCTCGCATAATACTCTGACTGCCATCTCATAGGAGCTCATAAATGTCCTATGTTATGTTCTTTTGGCTTCATCGCAGGCGCACCGCTACTGTCTCTCTAGCCGTATTAGCCTTTGCTTCATCAGCCACAACTCCTGGGTAAACCAAGGAGCCAGCCTAGAGAGAGGGCATCGGGGAGTGATCTCATTGATGGCTGCCAAGAGTCAGCTGTGCCAATCCTCCACAAGCTCATCTAATGAGCCGCCAGAGGGCATCGGATCCCGCAGGCCCATTTGAAGCCACATAGGGTCCATTTGGCTCCATGGGCAATCTGAAATCTGCTTGCCGCCCAAACAGGGTTGGGGTGAAACATTCAGATGGGCCTTCAGGGCATGATGGTCTGACCATGGCATGATGGTCTGACCCGGTTCACTATGACCCCTGCCGCAAAGATCAGATCGAGCGTGTGTCCGGCCTGGTGAGTGAGATTCATTACATATTGGGAGAGTCCCAGCGCCACCACAGATGACACTAGGTCCATCGCCTGAGTGGAGGCCACATCGTCCGCATGGACATTGAAGTCACACAGGACAATCGGTCTAGAGTGTTCCAATGCCCAGACTGACATGGCCTCCACCAGGGATGGCAGGCTGCTGGCTGGTTCTTTTTTCATCAAAAAACCAAAGATAAAGTACAAGCAAAGACAAGTCTTACAGTAATTATGTTTTGTTGTCATAATTATTTATCTTTGGTTTTTAATATGTTTTGCTGTCTGCAGTATGTGATTATTTTTAAAAGGGAATCTTTTGCCTTAAATTTTGTACAATAATGAAAACGTCCTCTATTCTTAAAAAAAATCAATAAAAAGGTGTTCAATCCTTTTATCTGGGTCACATCTAACTATGGGGCTGGCTATGGGGATGGTGGAGGCCAGATAATAATCATTTTTAATGAAGTCCTAGTTTTACATTTAAAACGCTAGCTTATCAGTAGGCTGACATTAAATTGTTCAGTAATTTGTCAGTTTTTTTGGAATTTTGGTCAGTAAAAATCAGTATTTTTGCCCCTCTGACTAGTTTCCACCCCTGATAATGTATATCTCCTTGCTTCACGCGCTTATGCCAGTTCTAACACTAAAAGCGTTAAGATATCTGCATACTCTCAATGTCTCAAACTTTTTTGAATGAAAGCTGCTGGGAACTGATTGCTGCAGGAGTCTGACGGGGTTAGGAGAAAGAGCCTCAGCTAATCTCACAACATCCAACTAAACTGGTATAGGACCTACATTAAGTTTGCCGTTAGGCTACATTACAATCCTTTCAGTATAGTAATGTATTTGTATATTATCCCCAGAAAACATCTAGAGCAAAGGCTTACAAATGTGTGATAGACAAGGAAAAGCAACAGCCAATTGGTACCCTAAATCTGTGTGGTAAACATTTTATGTCATGCAAATATATTTATGGTGGACAGTTCCCCTTATAACTACTCTGGTAGCATCATCAGGTTTTCCATATGCATATTTGTTCAGGAGAACCAATTTTCAATGTATAAGGACTGGCAACTGAAACAATGGCTGATTTCGCACTAGAGCTGCCTCGATGTTGCGCTGCCATTTGCCCCGATACTATTGGTCAATTTCACACCCGAAGCTGCAGGGCTGCATTTTGACTCGTGGCTTCGCGCTTCGGGTGTGAAATTGACCAATAGTATCGAGGCAAACGGCGGCGCAACATCGAGGCAGCTCTAGTGCGAAATCAGCCAATATTTCTTTCGCATGTAAGGCAAAAGTAGCAGTGTTTATCCCAAGCAACATGGTACTTTCCCTGTTCCCGTTTTATTCTTACAAGAACCCTGTGAGGTAGGCTGAGCTAAGAAACAGTGGCTGGTGCAAGGTCATACACTGAATTTAAGAGAGTAATAATATGAGCCAGCTTCTCCTTGATCCTGTAACCTCTACACCACATCAAATCTGCAGAGGGATCATCTGCTCTGGTTAGTATTCTCAGCATGTGATTACAGAAACAATGAGGATGAGCAGAATGCTGGCATGAGGATTGTAAAATTATATAAAGCTATTATGATGTCTTGTTTTAGCCCCTTTCCTATTAATCCCTAGCACTGAATTTCCCTTGATGTTACCATACATCTATCACAACCTTAAGAACTGTTCCCAGTTCAAAACTAATCCGTGCAAATGGAAGTTAAGGTATTTCAGACCTGGTGAATATTTCACACTGAATTTGCTGTCTGTTGCCAATCTAGCCGAGTTTGGAGGTATTCCTTCTTTGCAATCTCTTGGATTTTTTTTTAAACTTGGTGAATTTGGTGTTGTCTGCCTATGTCATCATTTACCCTTGGCTCCAGAGCATTTATGAACAAGTTATCCCATGATTCCTAGCTTTAATGATACTTGCCAAGTAATACTGCCTGTACAATGATAATGACACTACTACCCCACTGTTAGCCCGCCTCCCAAATCATACATGAAGCTGCCTTATAATGAATCAGCCCACTGGTTCGTCAGTCAAGACCAATATTGTCTACTCAGCCTGGCAGCGGCTCACCAGGTTCTCAGGTAGAGGTCTTCCTCATCATGTCCTACTTGATCCTTTTAAATGGAGAGGCTGAGGATTGAACCTGGTGCCTTCTGCGCACCAAGTAGATGCTCTTTCACTCAGCCATGGCCCCTCAGATCAGTGGGTTTAGAATAAAGTAACTGCATAGGATTTCGTGGTGATTCACTTTACTTTTTTTTAAGCACTTTTCAGGCCCCTGCAAGGAAACCCAATTTTTGTGATTTGCATACATTTGTTGAAAGATCAGTTATTTAAGTTCTTTACAGTACATTGCATCTGGACCTGGTGACTAACTTTTAGTATCAGTCTTAGAAATTCATCTTGTTAGCATCTCTGAGTTAGTTGCTTGGGCACCCTCTGCTTCCTACCCACCACAAAGTTGTTCAGGTAAGGTATCTGCCATATCTTCCTCAGTGAAGACTCGTACAAAGAATCCAGTGTGTCTGTTATCTTCCGAATCCTTATTATCCAGTCATATTTTAGTTGCCTTAACTATCCAGCCATTACTCTGGGTGGTTCCCTGCATGACGGTTAAGGTTTGTCTTCATATTCTTAACAGTGTGTTCAAATCATTTTTTTCACTTTGTCTTATTGTCAACTTGCATTTGTTTTGAGCAGAGCTCACTTCATAAGTGTTGAAAGCTTATGCTGAAATAAAATTTGTTAGTCTCTAAAGTGCCACTGGACTCTGGTTTTATTTTGCAGACTAATAGGTCTACCCATGTAGAGTTATCTTCCTCAAATAACACTTCTCTATAGATTTTATAACCAGGGCTAACCATATCACAGGTTTCTAGTAAGCCCCTAAATAGTGTAATCTTAATGCTTTCCTAGGAGTAAGCTCCATTCAGCAGACTAGCAAGGGTTGCTTTCTAAATCTGTTTTTAATTATTGTTAAAATGGTAGGATACAAATATTTTAAAGAAAAATAACATTAGCACTAACTTTCCCAGCTTCATTTTGGCTTGACAGCTTTTAGTGTTATACAAATACATACACAGTGTATCCTAGGCCAATTGCCCCATTTCTCCTTTAACCGGTTGTTTTGTCTCTAAATGCTGATTGAACCTTTCAAGTACTCCACTTCCTCTGAGGATCCGAAACATTCCGTCATTCTTAAGGGGTGAATCGCCTGTACCTCGGTGCGCTTAAGTTTTCCGGGGAATTCTGCTGGAAAAAAACTCTTGCATCCTTTCCCCGCGGTAACTGAATTATAGTCCGGGCTGTTCAGCTGACCTGAGAACAATCCGAGACCTCATGGTCTCATTCGCGGAGGATCGACCCTAAGCAACTTTGTTGGAAGTAGCGTTTCTTTTCTAGGTTAAGGCACTTAAGATCTTGCTATAAGTTTAGCAGTTTCGCTCCCATCTGCTTTTAACCTCTGGCAACTAGCAGTCTTAGGTTCTGCTGTACTAGCAGCCTAGTATGATATTATTTTTTTCAGAAACGAAGACTGAAATCCTAAATACACTTACAAAGAAGTGCTAGAGAACTCAATGCGACCTGCGAGTGACCATGCATAAGATCAGGTTGCACAAGTTTATGAGTCAGAATTTATGCCGCGTTCTGCAAAGTTACTCTCTCAGCCAAAGCTCAAAAGGGGCGTTGGGTGGGGTGTGTCGTCTCTTGCACCGCCTCCCTTCTACCGGATTGGATGGTTGCCCCCGAAGGAAAGCAAAACGCGGGAGGAAGCTGATCGGCGGGGCCGCAACCGAATGCTTCCAAGTTAGCGCTGCTGGGGCGAGGGGCACCCGGAAACAGGCCTTCGCCCGCCCCAAGGTAAGCGCTGTGTGGTTTTTGCGCGCCTTTTCAGAAGTACGCTCACTCCGGCCAGTCAGGATAGGGCTGCAACCGAAACAACTGGATGTTTCCTCAGAAATAAGGCCTAGTAGAGTTTAATGTCTTTGCGCTCCGTGTTTAGTATTAGGAGCGCAACTACTGTTTACTCGTCAGTCCCAATGAATTCAGTGGGACTGACTTCCATGTGTTGGATGGTTGCCCCCGAAGGAAAGCAAAACGCGGGAGGAAGCTGATCGGCGGGGCCGCAACAGAATGCTTCCAAGTTAGCGCTGCTCAGGCGAGGGGCACCCGGAAACAGGCCTTCGCCCGCCCCGAGGTAAGCGCTGTGTGGTTTTTGCGCGCCTTTTCAGAAGTACGCTCACTCCGACCAGTCAGGGTAGGGCTACAACCGAAACAACTGGATGTTTCCTCAGAAATAAGGCCTAGTAAATGTCTTTGCGCTCCGTGTTTAGTAGTAGGAGCGCAACTACTATTTACTCGTCAGTCCCAGTGAATTCAGTGGGACTGACTTCCATGTGTGGGGTGGGGCAAACCTTCTCAAGCACACAGACAGCCCCCCCAATCCCAAACAACTCCTCACCCACAACAATACAGCATCTAATTTTAACATTGACACTGGTACCAGAGCGTGCAATAAACCCAGATGCCAACTTTACTGCCGTATACACTCAGACAACACAATCACTGGACCTGACAACATCAACTATACCATCTTAAGCTTATTCACTTGGTCATCTTCTAACATTGTGTATGCCATTAAATGCCAACAATGCCCTTCAGTTCTCTACATAGGACAAACAGGTCACACTCTGTGCCAAAGGATAAATGGACACAAATCTGACATCAACAATCACAAAACTGAGAAACCTGTAGGAGAACATTTCACGTTGTCAGGGCACTCAATGGGAGACCTCAAAGTAGCTGTTTTATTACAAAGGAATGTCAGAAACAGACTGGAACGGGAGATTGCTGAATTACAAGTTATTACAACACTCAGGACAATAGAACCAACTGGGGTTAACAGAGATATCGGCTTCTTATCTCACTACACATGCTACTCAGTTCTTACTTATACGCAGAAATTAAACTTTGCTGGTCTTAAGTGGGCCACCAGACTCAAGCTTGATTCTCGCATCTGTTGTTAACTCCTTTATTATCTGTATGCCAATTTGCTGCTATTTACCTATCCTACCAAATGTGTTATTCCAATCTTACCTGTATTTATTGCTCAGTTATTGACTCTAATTATCTCTTCCTGGCAACTAACCCCCTCCACCTGCATATCTGAGGAAATCTGTTTCAGTTTATGTGAAGAAATGTGCACATGCTGAGTCTCTGTTCTCACATGTACCCAGGGTTGAGCTTGGTTTGTCTTGGGGATGCCACTGGACTCCGGCTTCATTCTCACATCTCTTGCATTTCTGTGCTAATTTGCTTCCATTCATGGATCTTGCCAGCCACCTGGTCCAATTTCAGCCCTACTTATCCATCTTGGCTGTTTCTGGCCCTTCCTAGGTATTAAGTTGATAAATGTTGGAAGACAGTCGAATTTCCTGTTTATTTTTTATGTCTTTTCCCCCTCCTTGTGTCTTAGGTAAAAACAGCTTCAGGCATTTCTTCCGTAATACCCAAATAAAGACTTTTTCTTATTCAAGTGTTATTTCCTATGAAAGGTTTTTTAAAAGATTGTTTAACTTAAAAATTAATCTGCAGTTGTGAAGTGTGCGTGCACACGAAATCTTATACCCAGAATTAAACTTTGTTGGTCTTAAAGGTACCACTGGCCTCAAACTTTGTTACATTCCATACTTGTTATCCTTCTGTTAAAGCATATGACAAGTCTGTTGTTTTCTTATTCCTGGCTAGTGCTGAGAGAAGGTTACTTACAACAACTCTCCTATGTAGCCCGGTATTGTAATCACAACATTGCCAATGAGGGATGGATGAGGACTGAGGCTGGAGTTCAGTGTTGTTATTCTCCTGTTGCAGCCAATGGGAACTGATGGGGGGGGGGGGGGGGGGTCCAAGATCTCTCTCTTGCTCAGTCTCTGCCAGTTCTTGAGTAAAAGCTGTCAGAACTGTCACAGTTTTAGTATTTATTGGTGAAATAAGGCATAATGGATCAACAACACAGTACAAATACTTCAAATGACCACTTTCTAAAAGTTCAAAATAATAGGATAAGTTGTAAGTTGTTCATAATGAGAGAGAATCATGGCATCAGAGGCCATTAGGAAATCCAGCCTACCAAGAAACAGTCAAGGTTGTTCTTTCTTATATCTGTATATTTACAGTAATACAGTTAAGTTGCTCCCCCCTTCACATTGCTGAGAGGAGAAAGCCTTGACCCATATCTATATCCTACTTTTGAACAACTAGGGCTTGCCTTCTAGTTTGTGTTTCTATTTCACAGAACAATGAGTTAGTTGTGATTATGCTCAGCTGAATAAGGACCAGATGGCCTAGCCTACTTATTTATAGAGGGAGTAGACTGCTTGTTGAGTTTTCCAGAGATTTAGAAATTTCAAAGCGTAAGAAAGTTAAATGAATAAAATAATACATATTGGGCTGCAGAATTTGGAGTGAACGTCTAAGAAGCTATTAAGATTTTAGAGAGTCTTAGTGTAGATGTAAAGGCGGAAGGACTCTGAAAATTGCCTTTATGAAGTGAGCTGGAGGAGATGCTCGGGAAATCTTATAACAAGTAACAAATAAACTAACATATATGCTTAGAAAGACAGGTTCTCACAAAGTATATTGTTTATTAACAGCTTTTCTTTTTTTAATTACTAACGGTAGCTTAACAGGGAATGATCTCCTAACCTTGGGTTTTTAGTGTAGTGTGGGTTGCTTTTCTTTTCTCCCTAGTTGTAGTTTCCCTTTCCCTATTTTTTCTTGGTAGTTTTTCTAGTATTAAAAAAATAAAGAATCCCCTCCGGGGGCTTAAAAACAAACAAACAAACAATAGATGTGAGAACTAAGTTTCAGTCCAGTGGCACCTTCAAGAACAACAAAGTTTAAATCTGGGTATAAGTGAGAACTGAGTGACTGAGCATATATAGTGAGATAAGAACCCAATATCTCTGTTAAGCCCTGGGGGTTCCATTGTTCTGAGTGTTGTAATAACTTGTAATTCAGCAATCTCCTCTTCCTCTCTGTTTCTGAAATTCCTTTGCAGTAAAACAGCTACGTTGAGGTCCCTCATTGAGTGCCCTGGGAGGTTGAGATGTTCTCCTATGGGTTTCTCAGTTTTGTGATTCTTGATGTCAGATTTGTGTCCCTTTATTCTTTGGTGTAGGATTTGACCTATTTGTCCACAAAAACGTATACCCAGAATTAAACCTTGTTGGTCTTAAAGGTGCCACTGGACTCAACCTTTGTTCTGTTGCTTCAGTCCAATACAGCTTCCCACCTGAATGTATTCAGCTGTGGAATACGTAAGAAGAAAGTGATTTTGAGCAGGTACAAGGTGCCTTTTAGTATTGCTATGAAAATATGGCCAGTATCTGTGAATAGGAGCCACAGTTCTCTTTGGAATACTTGGTCTCTATGGCACATAACAAAGATGCTTCTTTTTTAGGTATATTCTAACTCTACAGTCAATTTTGATATTCATTATTCCATTTGAACTTGATCAACAGAGCTAGCAACATGGATGGTCCTTCAGTGCCTTTGCTGCAACGATTTGATAAGTCTTCCCGCCTCCTTCTCTGCACATTGATGTCTGGGCCTGAGGCTGCTTTGGCTGCCTTGCGAACCCTTCAACGTTCTGGGGAAGATCCAAGGCACGGCTTTGACTGGCAGGACTTCACAGAGAAGCTGTGTGCCCTAGAGCCTGTGCTACAAGGCCCTGAGAAGACCCTCAGCTTGTGAGTTACTCCAGTTCCCATTTTAAAAGTTTTGAATACAGTCTCCTTCACACACTGGTGTTATTTTGTTATTAAGAACCCGATTCTGCAAGACAGCATTATGTGCCAGTGAAATTATAGGGAGTTTTGGGGAAAGGATTTCCTTGAGATACATGTTCCTTCCTTGTTCATTCGAGCAGATAACAGGTATTGGGAAAGATGGCAGAGTTTCTGGCTATTAATATTTCTGTATATTTACTGAGAAGAAATATCCTTTCTGGATATCAGGAAGCTGTAACCTGAATACACTTCTATAAATTCTGTGTCTGTAACCTGGTCTGAAAAGACACTTCTAAGGCCTGAACTAGGGGTGCTGGTTGGCTTGAAGAAAAATGTCCTTAATATGTGGAAATGGCAATGGAAGCTTTCCATGGCATGGAGATTAAATCGCATCACCTCGTTAAGGCTCTATTACAGGGATAGGACATTTTTCTCCAGGATGGCTGGGCCCCATCTTTTTATGCTATTTGTGCATCCAAACCCCGTCTTTTTATGCTGTTTGGGCAGTTAAGAGGCCTTGGAGGACAAAAACATTTCGTGGAAAACACAGGATAGTACCTCAAATAGCACCCCCATATTGAGTTTTCCACTGCAATGTATAGTAACATTAGGAGAAATGGTCATAATTCAGTGGTAGAGGACACATATGCACGTAGAAGACTTTAGGTTCAGTCCCTAGCATCTCTAGTTGGAAGTAGTTGCAGGGCTGGAAAAGATCTCTTTCCGAGACCTTGGAGAGCTGCTGCCATTTACAATCCTGGGATAGATGGTTCAGTATCAGGCAGCTTCATGTGCTCATTTAAAATCTGGTGTTGTGATATCATGATGATGTGAATGTTCCACCCACCACCCTCTGCCTATCACTAGCAGCTACGAATATGTGTGTGAGGGGGAAACACACCATCAGAACCTAGAGTAAATTGCTATATGTCGTAGAAGGGGGACTACTTGATATAAAATTACTGTTTCGGGTAGCAGTCCTGTGTTCCCTATAGTATGTAGTTCTGAGGTGTCATGTGCTATGAGTTATATGAAGGGTTGTTTATCATGTTGTAGAGTCAGCCCCTTGCCTTGGTAGTACTGAGCAGACTGATTCCTGTGTTCCTTCTTCCATGTGATCCTTTCAGAAAACCATTATTGCTGCTGCTTCCAGTCTTGTGCCAAAGAAATCTCTTTTCCTTGCTGCTTACGGTAAGATCCGTAGTGCCAAAAGACTTACTTGTCCGTCTGCTTGAGACCTCCAAGCAGGAGCCCAGCTCAGACCTCTGGGTGCAGAGACTGAAGGATTTACTACAAGTGGAGCTGCAGGAGAAGAGCTCCTTGACTCCAGTCCTACTAACAGATGCTTGCCAGCAACAACTGAAAGATCTGTGTCAGAAGGTTGTGGCCCTTCGTAGCAACACTCCTGATTTAAGGAAAAAATTAAGCTGGTATGTTAAACAGATAGATCCCTTCTTAGCTGTGGATGAAATAGCCCCCACCTCTTCATCTCAGATTGGGAAAAACAAGAAAGTAAGCAAGGAAGACATAAGCCCTGCAGATGAGAGGCAGAGCAAAAGGGCCCGATTGAAAGTTGATGAACCAGATTCAGAACATTTCAAGCAACATGCTGTGCGGCAGGGAGCTGGGGCAGCTGGAACAGGAAATGTACTCATGATGAAGTCTTTTGGAAATGAAGATGTTCACAGTCAAATCAACGAGATCTATCAAAGTTCTCAAAAGGAGGAAACAGTAGAAATGAGAGGGGCTAGTCAGGGTTCCCAAATGGACACTGCAGCAGAGGTCCCTAACTATATCAAGGTATTAACAAACTTTTGGATTCTCTGAATTCCTTCTTTTCTTAGTGAATTGGCAGCATAAGTACATGGAATATAGTCTTCCTCGCCAGTGAAGTCCAAAATGTTTCATTTTTCATCTGTTAATGGCCACTAGACAATACTGGAGCCCTTTGATATTAATAATGCACTGGAACATATGCAGAATGGGAAGTGGTAGGAAGAGCAAAAAGTAGAAGTAGCTCAGAGGTTAAGACGCTGAGCTGCAGACCGGAAGGTCAGTAGTTCGGCAATTCGAGACCCTAGTGCTGCATGATGGAGTGAGCTCCTGTCTCTGGCCCAGCTCCTGCCAACCTAGCAGTTCGAAAGCAAGAAATTGTGAGTAGATAAATAGGTACCACTTTAGTGGGAAGGTAACAGTGTTCCATGTGCCTTGGCGTTTAGTCATGCTGGCCACATGACCACGGAAACATCTTTGGACAGCGCTGGCTCTTCGGCTTGGAAACGGAGATGAGCACCGCCCCCTAGAGTTGGATTTGACTAGCTTTTGAGCAAGGGAAACCTTTTACCTTGCTTTAGTTTGGCTCCAAAATAGGTAGCAGGATTGAAAAAAAGTTATCGCATTTTAGGTGATGAGACACGTGAGATCTTTCTAGCTATAATAAACAATATGAGATATAAAGTGTCCAAAATGTCAAAAGTGGGGGAGGAGGTGTACAATATCACAATGTGGTATAGACAGGCCCTTAACCAATAGTGTATCTTGAGTCAAAGTGATATTGCAACCAATACTGGCGCAACCTTTATCTATGGGTAAAGAACCATCACTAGCTTTGGTTAGGAACTGTGTAGCTTGCCAGGATTAGATGCATTTATGCAGGTGATTCTCCAAGGGCCAAGAGTCCTTTTGGCTGAGTTTTTAATCTGCCTCTGCCCTCTTCCTATTTTGAAAACTTAACTGTAGGCCATCTCAGTAAATGTTAACTTAAAAAAAAAAAAAAATGTACAGACCGCTTTTCTTCAGCCAGCTTATTTTACAGTGGTTTGAGGATTATAGCCCTGGCCTCATATAACTGTTCTTTTCCACTCCTTGTTTTTAAGGAACATATCCCCAAACTTAAGGAGCTTTTGGCAATGCAGTGTGATGTAAGTATTATTGCTTTTCTGCTTTGGACAGATGCCCTGGCACTCTTTGTTGTTAAACATCTCAAAGTTCTGTTCAGATGGGTTTTTTAAATAGTCTTATTTGTACCCTGCCCTTAGAAGCATTCAGACGAGGTTGTTCTTTGGTCAATTTTGTGATCACATCTTTCACTGTATAAAGCCTCTGAACTTTTCTGATCCCCTCCTTTAGCATTTTGATGGGACTGTCCCTCCAGAGCTTCAGGTCCTGAATGAGTGTACCCCAAACCAGGTTAGTGACATGAAAACCATTTATTTACATGTAGGCAATTTAGAGCCCAATCTGTACATGTTTACTTGAAAATAGGTCCAGTTGGTCAGCCGTTTTGGTCTGAAGCAGTACAACAAATTTAGTGTCCAATGACACCTTTAAGACCAACAGAGACCTTGAATAAACCGTTGTTGGTTTTAAAGGTGCCATTGAACTCTATGTTTACTTGAAAGCAAGTCTTACTGAATTCAGTGGGGCTTATACCTAAGAAAGTATGCACATTCCCATTCCCAGACTTAACTAAACCACTTTTATCTAAGTCTGATTCCTATGTTTAACTGTTTTGGTGATGGTGATGGGTAGTGGTGATATTTGAAAAATAGACTACCTTTAGTAAGGCACAAGTCTTATTTTCTTCCCTTTAGCTAGAAAGTCTCTGCTCACTGCTGCAACTCTCAGAATGTCCAGAAAATGAGCTTCTGCAGTTCTGTACTTGGTTGGTGGCGATGTCCCCTGATCTTAGCTATAGTTATGCAACGATACTTGCTGGAAAGCTCTTTCTACCTCGGGTACGTATGGAGCATCTGAACCTTACATAAACAAACATCCTCCACTTTGGTGGAAACCCCTGAGGTTTGTTGTTGGTATAATGTTACCTTATGGATGCAGAACTTTCTCCAGTTGTTTCTGTGGTGACGGCTTCCAGGCTTTACTACCTTAAAAGATTTTTTATTATTATTATTTTTAAAATCTCCTTTCACATCTAGATTGATCTGCTTTAACAGGGGCTATGAATTTCCTCAAGCTACTATTACATGAAGTTTATGTATTTTGTTTCATCCTAAGTGATCTTGGGCAGGATAGATCACCTTAATTTAAATCACTAAGAAAAAGGCTAATCCAAATCACTGAATCAAATCAAAATTTATATTAGTTATTTAAATTCATTCTTAAATAAGTATTGCAGATTGGTTGCTATATTGATAAAAGAATATTTAAAACTGAACAAATGCTTTATGCGACCTCAGAGAGTACACTAAAAGTTTTTTTTAAATGTAATATAATACCTTTACTATTTTTGAAAATGATACACTATACATTGTATATATTTAAATAACTCAATGCTTATGACCCCAAATGATCATAGATTTTTGTAGACAAATGGCAAGTTTGGTGTAGTGGTTAAGAGTGCGGACTCGGGTTTGATTCCCCACTCCTCCACTTGCACCTGCTGATGTGACCTTGGGTCAGTCACAAGCTCTGGCACAGCTGTTCCTGAAAGAGCGGTTTTTCAGAGTTCTTTCAGCCCCACCCACCTCACAGGGTGTCTGTTGTGGGGAGGGGAAGGGAAAGGAGTTTGTAAGCCGCTCTGAGACTCCAAGTAAAGGGTGGGGTATAAATCCAATCTCTTCTCTTTTTCTTCTTCTTCTTAAAACAGGAATGAAGCATCACTGAGATCGATCAGTGAATTATACCTGTGAGGCTTGCCAGTCTTTACCCTTAAGTATCATGTCCTATTATGTGAACTGTTGTGCTTTCTGATGACTGATGTTTTCCTACAATTCTGTCTTCACAAAGAAAAAACAGTTTTTAATGTATTCTTAAGATGGTCAAAAGTTCATTATTAAGAATTTGTGCTTGGGTCACAGGACTTGGTATGACAATATTCTCTTTCTGCTCTTTCTGTCCTACAGGTTCTCACGCTGACTGAGCCAGCCTCATGGCCTCTCACAATGGCCCTGATGATGTTTTGCTCAAAATATGCTCGCCCAGTCTGTTGCACCTTGATTCCTTCAATTGTGCAGGCTCCAGGGAAAGGCAAGTTCATTAGTTTTGCTAATAAACGTCAATCTCTTGTATTATTATCACTTTAATTCATTTTAATTCTTTGAAAATTATTACTTTTCTAGCAGTAATGTCCTTGTATGTCCTTTTATTAAAGCAAATGTGATGTTTCTTATTTTTGCTTTTTTAAGGTGTTGAGCAAATTAAACTATTGTGCAAGATAATTGAGGAGTGTTTGGAGCCTGAATATGTGAGACTGGTATTCAGGTAAATATTTTATGTATAAAATTAAATGTAATAGAGAAATTGCATAAAAAGTGTATTGATTCAACAATCTGGAACATATTTGATAGGCTTGCAGCCAGTTTGGTGTAGTGGCTGGGAGCGTGGACTCTAATCTAGGAGAACTGGGTTTGATTCCCCACGCCTTCACATGCAGCTGCTGGTGTGACCTTGGGTCAGTCACAAGTTCTCTCAGACCTGTTCTCTCATCAGCAGTGCTTGAGAGAGCTCTCTCTGCTCCACCTACCTCACAGGGTGTCTGTTGTGGGGATGGGAAGTGGAAGGAGATTGTAAGCCACTCTGAAACTCCTTCGGGTAGTGAAGGGGGGTGGTATAAATCCAATCTCTTCTTCTAGCTGCTTTTAGGCTATTTTGTAATCTCATTTGCTTTCTTCTTTCTGAACCGTAGTAAGAACCTTTCTGTGACTCCTTATAAATGTAAATTACAGGCTGAATCATAATCTCTTTCCAGGTCATATAATCCCTGTTAGTTATATTTTTTCTTTATTGTTAATTTTATTGCTATTGTACCTATATCAGAATATAATAAATGAACAAATAATTTTCATATCCTTTCTTCTCTATCTTTTATTCCAAAACAATGCACTAAAAAGTACTAAAAATGTGATGCTTCTTGAAATTGAGTCTGTGTACTTGATCTTACTTTGAAAAGCTATGTTGTTAAAGTTTCTTGCATCTTGACGTTTTTTCCAGTATCGGTATTCATGAATCATGTAGCAACTGGATGACTTGCAGAAATCTGTCCCTAACATAGTTTTGATCCCCTTTCCATCATTTTGTTCTGATGCTTGCTATCATACTCCACAGCCAGTTTGTAGAAATGCCATGGTCTGAAGATCTCCTTACAGTTGTGCATTCGTTGCTGGAAAGACAGGTGGGTGTAAGCACTTAAGTCTGCCTTAGCTTCAGTAATCAATGGAATACATTGGTTGAATGGTTAGCCATTTGCCCTAAAGCTTGTTCTCCAAAATCTTGTGTGTCATCAGGTCTGGTAAAAGCAATTTCTTCTGACAGCACAATCGGGGACTTACCGAAGGTGTAATGTATCAAAGCTAGCATCTTCATAAAGCAGTACAAAACCAGTTATAAGCTGAATTGTGATCTTCCTTTGGCGGAGTACCATTTTCTTGACCTGGTGCTTATTTGACTATTTGCCAGTTTAGCTTTCATTATTTGAGCAACTGGAATGAACACTAGGGCAATTAGTGTTTCATGTAACTCTTTCTCTTGTCAGGTGGAGTTGTCTGCTGAGCTCTTCAACTTGGTGGTCTCAAATGTTTGCCAGATGGCGCAAGAGTTTGCCAAGTCAATGCGTTATGCAAAGCTGGTTCTCACTCTGCTGACCAAATACCAAAGTAATGTGAGTAAATGTAACTGCACCTTGGGGGAAGGGGTGGTGGTGGTAACAATCCCTTTGTGATTCCTTACTCACAGATACTACCACTCACCGCAGCCCTTGTCACACAGATTCAGGAACAGAGGTGGGTCAGGCAGCCACAGCTCGCCAGCCCTTCTCCCAGCATTCCATCAGCTCTCTTTGCTTGCAGAGAGAGGCGGAAATGGATCTGTCCATCATATCCTTGTATGCCTCCATAGAGCCATTCTATCTCATTGATCTGTTTTAACACTTATAATGTGCTCTGGTGTTTCCTTCATTTATCACATTATATGTAAGTGGAATTATTTTTGAAATTATGCCCTTCTATATCCATGAGGCCCTAATTACCATTGGAAGTGCTGAACATTCTCAGTTCCTGTTAATATCTGTGGCTTGATGCAGATATTGAGATAGCTTTGAATATGAAACCTGAACATTCTTAGGCACAGTTGCCAAGAATTGGTTTCACCGTATTATTATACTGCTCTGTGTGTGTGTGTGTGTCTTTGTGTTGTGTCCCCACCCCACTTTACTGAATATTAAAGCTGAGTCACCAGCTTTGTTGGAGAGATCAGTAAGGTAGAAATGGCCCAGATAGGTTGGTGATATAAGATAAGAGTGATTTTTTTGTGCTTGATCAGTTGATACTTTTTTTAATTTGAAAAATTCAGGAAAGACTATTTCTTAATATGTATCTCAACAACCCAAGAGTGTATGGGAATTGACAAAATAGCACCATACATTAGAAGACTAATTCTGCATAGGATTGCACTCTTCTAATGTATGGTGCTATTTTGTCAGTGGATTTAGACTGGAGTAACTTTGCATAGGAATGCACTGAAAATGTAATAGAGTACTTGTTAAAATAAATAAATAACAGGCATTAACATTCAAGCTCTTTGTATGCTGTAGCCCTGAAACCAAGGGTTGTGGTTGGACAAGCAGGAGTTAAATAGTTTACACTCTGTTTTTCTTTTTAGATTACATTGGTACACCAGTATCGCTTATCTGGTGTTCTGGACCTCAATGAAACAATCTTAAAGAAATCTCTCCAAATTGCACTAAAACAATTAACTCCCAGATAAGAAACAGACTTGAATGCCGTTCCTGTGTGTGAAATACAAGGTGATAGCCCTCTTCTTCAGTGCTGGTGACCATGAAGCAGAAGCAACTGAAGACACTTTCAGAGGCTGAGGAATCAAATGTGACCTGTATCTTTTGGACCTTTGACTTGCTTCTTGAACCTGTGTGCCCTAATAAAATTGCTACCTGGAAGACCTTTAGTATTTTTATGGGTCAAACCAAATTTTAATATTTTTTTGGATTTCTGTAATCCAGGGTGTATTTTTAAACATGAATTGTAATTTGGGCTCACCTTCCTCGATGGTTTGCTGAAATGATAGTTATGCATTCAGAGGAGGATTGTGCTAGCATCGACTGATTGTTGGAAAGGGATTGTGACAGGAAACGTGATACTTTCTACTTGGTGAAGTATATAGAGGAGAAGCAGAATAGCCTACCTCCTTCCTTTCATAGTGAGAACTATCTCAGTAAGCGCATGTCCACTGCATTTTGCTGTGCTGAAACTAGAAGGCTAGCAGGGTAGATGCCTAGACAAGGAAAAGAGCATTAAAAGGGTTAATTTGAATATCGGTGGTATCCCAGTGGTGCAGCTTGGAAAACCTGAAACTTTTTATCCTCATTATGTGACCATCAGAAATAAAGGCATACTACATCTAATCAATCCATAGTGGTGGTACCTTTCAGGGCTGGTACACAAGGCGGTACATAAATCACTGAAATATGATAAAAACAGAAATAAACAAGGTTCCATATTGGTTAGAAAAGGGCTGGTTACACACAGGAAATACATGCAAAATTGAGGAGATAAGTGGGGGACGCATAAGGATTTCTGGGTGGGGATTTCATTTTCCCCTTTTCCTTTCCTGAAAGACCCCATAAGCGTCTCCCCTCTTCCTGTGTCTCTCTTTCCCACCCATTAGTCAACCTACCTTTATCTGCCTCCCTGTCTTCAGCTTTCCCCCTTCCATCCTCAAGCAGCTTCTACCCAGGAAAACTATGGCCCAGTTGCATGGTGTTGGCCTCTGGACTGATCCCAGCTGCAGGGTGAGGAACCTGCAAGGGCTTGTGGGGAGCACATTATTTCCCCTGTATCCTCCCCCCACTATTTCTTTTTCCTGGCAGCCCCCCATAGCCACAGTGGGGACCGAAAGCCACATCATTTTCCTTTCCTTCATTTTATTCTCAGACCAACCCAGTGAGGTAGGTTCCATGGCAGAGTTGGGATTCAAAAGTGTTTCCCAAATCCTAGTCTGAAACTCTTAACTGCTACAGCACACTGGCGCTTGTGGAATGGCTGCTGTTGAACAATAGTGATCACCTGTGCCTGAGGGAGTCAAGCAAGTGGTATGGTAGCAATTTTCCTGGTGGTTGTTGCTGGGCCTGACCCCAGTGAGCTCTCCCTTGAAGGCCAGCACAGCCTTGAAAAGACACCCCCCCCCCCGACTGCACGTTTTACTGGCAGAAACCAAGGTTGGGATTTTTTAAAGCTATAGGTGTGGCTTCGATCATTTTGGGGGGTTTTTTAAACCCCCAATGGAATTTTTAAAGTTTTTCTAGAAATCTGGAGCTTTTCTCTGGAACTTGTCTCTTTATACCACAATCTCCAAAATTAACTGTCCACAGATCCCCAAACAGCACCTTGTCAGTTTCACAATCACTCCTCCCAGGGGACTCTAGTGATTTACTCTGATAGAACTTGAGAGATATGTTCTCCTAGATAGGTTATTATGCTTGCCACAAGGATTCCGATGCGACCCTAGAAAATCTTAAGAGAAATTATTGCACCTTACAAAGAAATTATTGTGCCTTATGTCCTGTAGTATACATCACGGTCCTTGAAAAAGATTGTATTCAAAACCGGTAAATTACTAGAGTCTGGTGGGAGGAGTGATTGTGAAACTGACAAGGTGCTGTTTGAATGTTTGAACAGAATGTAAACCTGCACTTTGATGCATTGTTTGGGTGAAACCTATATTTGATAATATTTGATACCAATATTTCTATAACAGTATAGAACAATAAAAACATAAAAAGCACAAAATTGATCTATACATCTATTATACACACTGTCATATACTTTTGCATAACCTACAGGTGGGGCCTGGAGATCTCCCAGAATTAGAACTGAGATCATTTCCCCCAGAGAAAATGCCTGTTTTGGACAGTGGACTCTTTGGCACTATACCCCATTGAGGTCCTGCCTCTTGCCAAACCACTTCCTCCCAGGCCTGTAGCCATGATTTTGTGGCTTGTGGGGCAAATTTTTCCCCTGGTTGGACTGAAGTTCTTAGTGCAGTGAGAAAAGCCAGAATTCTGAGGATTATGACCCAGGTACTGTGGAATGAAGCCTTTTAAAATCAAGGCATAGAGGCTTTTACAAATCTTGACCCCAGAGTGTGACAGCAGCAGGCTGGGGGGGGGGGATGGTAGGCATGGCACTGGAAATACTTATCTGGGTTTGGCCAGTAAACTCACTCCAATTTACATAAAACAGATAAAACTTTATTTACAAAAACAAAGGACAAACACCACATAGGGGAAAGAATGTATACAGCAAGGAATTCAAACCAAACCAAAAAACCTACCTTGCTATTCTACTCACTACATAGCAACAGGGTGGAAGTTGAAGAGAGCTTCAAGGCAGTCTCTTCTCTCTGAGTCTTCTCAAGCTGTCTATTCTACATAGGTGTTCGTAAACATTTAGCCAATAGAAAGCTGTTACCAGGATAGATCTCTAAATTGCAAACTGTCAAACACTTTAGATGACAGTTCTCAGTTGCTGCAAATTAATCACTTCTGCCAGCCTAACCAACAATTTTGATAACAAGCTGGCATGTAAGGGTGATGAAAGCTAACACTTAGACAGAAAGACTCTATTAGAGGTAACCAGTTTCTTAACACAGAAGGGATCCTAGAGGTCACCTACTCCAACTCTCTTGCTCAGTGCAGGAATTAGTCAGCTACCGCACCCCACTCTGCTTAAAGGAGCACACACCTTTTAAAATGTTTTAAAATGATTGAAAAAAGCATTTACGGGAGAAATTCTTGTGGGGCTGTGCCTTTAAGAAAGGGGGCAGAGCCCCCAAAAGCCCCACTGTAGCTACGGGCCTGCTTTCTCTCCAGGCTTCTCCAACCCCCCCCCCAAGTCTCCAAGTGTTTCCCAACCCAGAGCTGGCAACCCTATCTCCTGATGAAAGAGATCAGTTTCTCTAAAGAAAACAGCTGCTTTGGGGGTGGAATCTATGGCATTACACTCTGCTGAGGTCCCTCCCCAGGTTTCACTCCCAAATCTCCAGGAATTTTCCAACCCAGAGTCACCAGCTTTACTTTCCACAATGCCCAAGGAGATTTGGATTGGGTTTGTGAAAACAGGCGGCTTAGACGTCCTACCTGCACTGTTTTTCTGGTTTGAAATGGCTGTTGGGCAACACAGTTTGCCCTGCTGAGGTGGCATGTGTCCTGATGAGTTTACACATTATATATCCACAACAGGGCCTTTTGCTTAACTAGAGGATTGTTCTACAGTGTTGTCAAGATTGTTCTACAGTGTTGCCATCCAGAAAGGGATGCGACAGGGCTGTCCGCTGTCACCTCTGTTATTCATTTTCGCAATAGAAGCACTTAACGAGATGGTGAGAGCAGATCCTCTAATCCAAGGTTTAAAAATTAGAGGTGAACAATTTAAGTTACAGGCGTACGCCGATGACTTAGTATTCATCTTAGAAGATCCATCAAAATCAATTGAACAACTAGTCCTAGTATTACAAACATATGGGTGGGTGGCAGGTCTAAAGATAAATTTTCAAAAGTCTAAAATTTTAACAAAAAATTGTTCAAAGGCAACGGAAGAGGAATTACGAGAAAAAACTAGTTTTGAAATAAGTAAGAAAATTAAATATTTAGGTGTGTGGCTAACAAATAAATGTAGTTCATTATTTGAAGACAACTACAAAAGATTGCTTGGAGATGTGAAAAAAGACCTGGCAAGCTGGAAGGATTTGCAGTTATCACTTTTAGGCAGAATTGCCACAATCAAAATGAGTGTTTTACCCAAAATAATGTTTCTGTTCCAAACGTTACCCATTATTAAGAATAAGATGTTCTTTAAAGACTTAGAAAAAACTATTTCCTCTTTTATCTGGCAATCAAAAAAATCAAGATTCAGGTTAAAACTGATGCAGGACAGGAAAGAAAAGGGTGGTCTTGGCCTCCCAGATTGGGAGTTATATTATAAGGCTTCTGCTATGGTCTGGATCAAAGAGTGGGCTACACTGGCGAACAGTAGACTCCTTAAGTTAGAGGGGCACGAGCTCCTGTTGGGGTGGCATGCTAGCCTCTGGTATAATAAAGGAATTAAATTTTTTGAACGACACTATTTAAGACAAACCTTACTAAGAGTTTGGAAGGAGGTTAAAAAACAGTTTTACGAGAAAATTCCGAGGTGGATTTCACCGATAGAAACCTCAATGTTGCCAACTGTGTTTGACTATAAAAAGGTGGTGTTATGAAGATTTGTTAGAGAATAATAATGACTTAAAATCTGCAGAAACTCGGAAAAATCAAAATAAGGAATTGTCGTGGTTTCAATATTTGCAATTGAAGACTAGACATAAAGAGGACCAGAAGATGGGGTTTTACTCTAAACCAATAGATATAGATAAAATTTGGTTTGATAGGGGAGGAAAATTGATAAAGAATATATATAGGAAATTGCTGGATGGGAAGCAAGAGGAAATGAGGAGGGTTAGTTTGGATTTGTGGAATAAAGATTTAGGGTATGATATAGAACCTGATAAATGGCTTAACATTTGGGAGACAAATATGAAGATTACCAGAGCAATTCCCTTTAAAGAAAATACGTATAAAGTTATACATAGATGGTACCTATACCCTTCGAGACTAGCCAAATTTTCCGCATCATCAACTAGTACTTGTTGGAAATGCAAACAGAAGGTTGGCACTATTTCCACATGTGGTGGACATGCGGCAGAGCTAAAGAATATTGGGAAAATATTACTGTAATGTTAAAGGAAATTTTGGAGGATGCAATACCAATGAAACCTGAATTATATTTATTGGACATTATCCCCGAGAAATATAAAAAAGAACAGAAAAACTTGTTATTGCATTGTATAATAGCAGCAAGGATAAGCTATGCTAAATACTGGAAAACAGATAAGATTCCTGACAAATTAGAAGTGTTACAAAAACTGTTTGAGGTCGCCGAAATGGATAAATTGTCTGGTATATTAAAAGGGAAGGATGAAGCTATTTTTGAGAAAAATTGGGGGAAATTGTATAAATGGAAAATCTTATAGAACGATCAGGAAGAGATCCGATTGATGAACACTGTAAATTATTAAGGCTGTATGCTCGTCTACGTATAATGGTATAATCAGCACATGTTGTTGGGTGTGGGTGATGGAAAAAATTAGTAAAAATAATTTTTAAAAAAAGAAATTGTAGTTCTCTGTAGGATCAAGCTCAATTCTCTATGAAGAACCTATGAAGTATAATAAGAGATAAGATACTGCTATACTTAAATGCACTATTGTTTCCTAACTTGTCTTAGTCTTTTAGGTCAGTTTATAGTATACAATTTTATTTTATTTTCAAACTATAGTGGTATGACAGCG